GTGGCTTTGTCTTTATACTCTCCTTTCTCTGCGTTGGTTACACTACCCCATTTTAAAATACAAAAGGATCCTTCTCTTTCTCTACATTTCACTTCACTAGCCCCGTGGACTTGTACAGTATTTCTCTATTTGTAAAACCCAGAATGCATGTCCATATACACATGGTAAAAGGCACCTCTATTCCCTTTGTGCCAATGTCACACTTCCTGGGCAAATTCTGCAGTGATTCCAGAAGGCTGGAATCCCTTAGAGTCTTGCATCTCTCATAAAGAACAAGTTCAGTTTGGGGGCCAATTATTTCTGTTTGGGGTTAATGTCGTTAACAAGTTGAACTCTTTCTAAAGAATTAAAACAAACAGTGTACAGCAATTACAAAGGGAGAGAGAAGAAAATCTATTTTAAGAGTCAGAGGCGATGTACCTTTCTGGAAAAAAAAAAGTTGCCTTTTTTTTTTCTATTTGAAATCAAACAGAAATACAGTTCTTAAACTATCTACTGGGCACAGATAAACTGTTGTATGGTCACAGACCCTGGCAACAACTGCATATTTTAATGAGGTGGTTGGCAGAAGCATTTAATGCTACAGCCCTTCTTGTTTCTGATAAATATATTTCGCTACACTAAGTCGAACAAGGGTTTGCAAGAAGGCTTCAGAAAGGCATACAGCAGCATGGAGGATCTGCTCAAGGGGCACAAGCAGCACTGGGCGGCTCTCCGGGAAGTTCTAAGTTTAACAGGTATACTGGGGACAAGAGAGTTCTTCTAAGGGCCTTTTCCTGCTTTAATTGGCTGGCTTAGAACATGCCAGAAGGCCCTCAGCAGCCCCCACAAGAGCAAAACACAAGCCCAGGCAAACCTGCTGCTTCAGCTACTCCCTGAATCCTTCCATCCTTGACTGCAGAACTTCTCCTCCATGAAAGGAAGAAATCAAATTCTGGACGCAAGAACTGTATTAAAGAGGCTCTGACTCTGGGCAGCTGTGAATCCTTTATCCCTTTTATCCTCCATAACAGAAACAGCTCTGGAGAAATTCGCAGAGATGAAAATAATTTCAGCTGAGGAACTTCAATTGGGAGTGACTGGATGTGTTCCGCTGAAGATAGAAAACGTTATGAGATCCAGCAAATCCACAAACCCGTAACTGCATGGGAGAGATGCGTGAGATTAAAAAGTAGCACCGCTTTAATTTGGAACTATATTCTTCAAATACCAAGCCAAGTGCAAACAGCAGAGACTAGCATGAGATGGGGAATTAAGTATTGTGACCTAATCCTTGAAAGTCAAAACAAAACAAAACAAAACAACAATGCTATAGTTGCAACCCCAGGTGCAAGGTTAGGGCTGATTTAGAGAAAAAAAATTGTATTTTTAGATTTTGTTTCATAGGATATCCGATAATATGGCAAACACTGGGATCAAATTTGATGATAAATAATGCTGGCCGTGAGAAGCAGCAGGTGGTGTGATGCTAAGCATGTTTGGGGTGTGTCTCATTATTGAAATATTCTCAAACTGTGAAGAGAGGCCAGTGGAGGCGCTGGCCGTGCACGGCTTCACAGCAGCTGTGTAGACCTCGGGTCTGCTGCTCTGTGTCCACGGAAACTTCTCTGCCTGAGTTTTTTTAGGATCCTCTTTCTTCCTCCCAGCTTTGACCGCACCCCAGGGCTTCTTCCAAGTGTGGGGGTGGGTCTCCCTCAGAGATGGGAGCCCGCGATCCTAAAGGCCTCATCCCTCCTCTGCTTCCGCCTGACCTTCAGCCGCGAAATTTTTCCTCGGGAGTTTGCCTTTCTTCATCCTTTTGAAAATCACCCTCCTGGAGACAAGGTCAAAGGAGCCTGACCCCCTGAAAACCATTCTGCTTGGGAACGCCCTTCACCTGAGGATGGTGATCACTGGGGCACCTGAAATAGCTGGTGATTCCTCATCTCCACAGGGGGACATCAGCCTGAAATGGACTGACATTACAGGCAGCTTCTTAGTTCAACATAAAACAAGAGCACCCTAACAGCAGCCACGCAAGTGCTCTAATGTTACACAGAGAAGACTCTAGAACTTCTCTCCAAGCCACTGACATGTGGTAAAGGGGCCTATGAAGTATACAAGTCTGTGAAGACACATGGACGGTCTAGAGCTGTGCCAGCCAATATGGTAGCCATGCCACCTGCGGATGCTGCACACTCGAAATGTGGCCAGGGTCCCTGAGGGATGGAATTTCAAATTTTATTTCATTTCAATTCATTTAAATCTTCAATTTAAAAAGGAACGCAGTGTATAGTATTTTTCTGTAGGACACAACTTTATTGTTTTGATAGGGCTACTTTTGATTTATATCATGGAGGTTATCAGTGTCGCAGTGCACGTGGCAGCACGTGTATTACTTCTAGTCTTTATTCTTAATTTTTAAGATATCAGTTACAGGTTGAAATGATAATCTTTTTGATATAATGGTTTAAATGAAATACACTGTTAAAATTAATTTCCCCTCTTTCTTCTTCCCCTCTAATGTGGCCACTGGGAAGTTTAACATTATATATATGTAACTTGTGTTATATTTTAATCAGATGGGACTAGTGTATCAGACAACTGATGTCTTCAGATATGGAAACAACAAAGTTGTGGCACACTTGGGAAGGAGAGAGGGTTGGGAGAGGAGTTATAATGCCATTATTTCTTTGGTTTTTATCCAAGGATAATTTCTTTCAAACAACTGGGAAAATGGAAAATGTTTAAGGTTTGCATTTTTTTATTGTGTGACAATAGTGTTTAAAATTTTTCATATATTGCCAACTGGCCCTCTGCCCCTAAAATCAGTTCTAAAGTTAAGGAATAGAAGGACTTTGTATACAATGGTCCAGGGCAGGGTTGTCTGACATGTGGCTGCATGTGGAGTTATTTCAAGGGTCCACAAATCCATGTGGGCCAAGTAGCGTCTGTAGACTGAATAAACAACCTCTGGCTACTGGCATTACAGTCTTTCAAAAGGGTAGGCATTGCTGTGATTAATAAAATGTAAATTCACTTCAACATGTTACCAAATTCAGAGTAGTTAAGGGGTCATCATATATTTTTGCAATCAAAAGACTCTAAAAGTCAGCTACTTTTACCTGAAGTGTTGGATCTTTGCTAGCTCATGCGATGTCTTTGTACAAATTAGAGCAAGGCATGTCAGGGATTCAAGCCCTAATTATTCCCCAAGGGTGTGACCTGCATTATAATTTGCCACAGCCCTGATATATTTTGGTATTCAAAAAGTTCTTCAAACTTGAAAAGGCTGAATTGTATCCTGGAGAATACTGCAGACAAAAAAATGTTGCCCGTCATTCAGTTTAATAATGAATGTTGCCTGGCATCAAGCCATAAGCCCCTGCAGCTGCCCCAGTGGTGTGCCCTGAGGGGAATTCAGGACGGAGGAAAAACAGGATACTGGCTCCAGATAGTTAAGATGCTTATCAGGAAAAAACCTCAATGAGGTTTTTAAGCCTAAAATCGTTGAGACGTCTATTTTTCGTGATCTTTTAATGCTTGACGATATACTTTATTCCTAGCAGGAACTCACACACACCCTGGCTCCTCCCTTCCGTCTTTGGAACCGTTTCCATGGAGCGATCTGAGAGGCTGCCTCCCAGGCTATAGTCCTCAGTGAGGCCCCTGAATAAAACGTGACGCTCAGCTTTTAGCGTGTGTGTGTTGTTGCTGTTGTTGTTGTTGTCTTTTTAGTTGACAGTACCCAGCAAATGAGAAATGGATGCTCCACCTTCCAGGACCCTGCCTTTGCCACTGTCCTGAGTCAGTGTCCTTGCTTCTGACCTGGAGGCTGGTGAGGTCTGCCCCGGTGGGCTCAACCAGGTCTCAGGATGAGGGTGGGCCCACTGCTGGCATTCACATCACCTATCCCCGTGGAGGCTGGAAATGGGAGCCTCTGGTCCCATTGCCCCAAAGGTTCTAGAAGGAGCAAAGTAAACGTTGGAAGGAAGCTGCAATCGGGATCCTCTGACCTTTAATCTAGGAATTCACAGCAGAGTGAAAAATAGGCTATTTCTTCAAAATACGTTAAAATGTATTTAAATTTAGAGAACATGGTTTGTCAGCCTCAGCACTCCTGACATTCTGAGAACTCTTTGTTGTGGGCTGTCCTGTGCATTAGGATGTTTAGCAGACTCCTGGCCTGTGTCCACTAGATGCTGGTAGCAACCCCTCTCGGTTGTGACCATCAAAAACGTCTCCAGACACTGTCAAATGTCCCCTGAACAGGAAAACTGCCCCAGTGGAGAATCACTGATTTAGAATATCAAAACATTTGTGGTATTAGCTTATTTTCATAATTTTCATGATTTAACTTTTTATAGCTGTGAGTACATGGACTTCAGAATCTGACATATCTAGATCCAAATCCTGGCCTACACATTACTAGCTGTGTGACCTGGGGCGAGTTACTGAACATCTCTGCTCCTTAATTTCCTCACCCGTAAAATGGGGCAATAACCATGCTGTCCTCGTAGATATGTTGTGAGGATTAATAAGACAAACTTCTTAATTAGTGACAATGACTATCAGCCAGTACACTCCCAGGCCCCCTTTTGTACTGGTCTAATGCTGGATGTCTGCGGATTTACGCTAACGTCAAGGCAGCCTCTGGTTTCTGTGTTAGTGTGGCAGCGAAGAACCTCTGAAGTCCGAGAACCAGGCTTCAAACTCCAGGTGCGCTCTGGACTGAGTCACTAAACCTCTGAAACCACAGTCTTTCATCTATTTTTAAAGAGAGAGAGGGAGGGATAATGAAAGACTCTCCCTTGCAGGGCTGTTTGGGGATGAAAAGACGTATCTAGAGACTGAGCTTATTAATCATTGTTAGGTGGAGCGAGGCTACACGTGAATGCAGGGAAAAGCAAAGGAAGATGTTTTATGAAATTTCCCCCAAATCATTTTCAACCTTCCTGCCCCACGGTTGCCCCACCCCACCCAACTCAAGGACATCTGCTCAAACCCCAGAGCCCTCATACCTCATTTTGTGGACGTCTAAGGGCATCACTCCCGTTCCTTGAGGCTACCTCTGGGGGCTCCTCTTCCTGTTCCTAGAAGTGCTCCTCAGTCTCCCGGGCTGCGCTGTTTCCAAGTCCGCTCCGACGACCCCCGGGCTCTCACCGTGATGAAGCCAGACTTCTTCACGCCACGTCACACTGACGTGGACGCAGTGTGATTTGGCCACAGGTTCTCTGCTGAGCCTCAGTTTCCTCACCTGTAAAATGAGGCAGTTCAAGCAACCCTTTCTCCAGGAAGTGTGGCCTCACTCGGGGCAGCAGGTGCTCCTCACCTGCCATGCTGGGCATTTCTCTGTCCCTGTAAGTCTACCTCCCTTTAAACCCGTTTCCTTACTAAACCATGAGCTCCCTTACATCAAAGACTGTCCTGTTCACATTTATATCCCAGACGTAACTCCTGCCACAAGGCAAATCCTCAACAAACGTTTGTTAAATGAATGAGTGGGAGACAGTGGGAGATAGGATCATGGTCCAAAGCTCTAAGTGGGACAAGCTGGGGTTTTTTTCCCTTCTCACCCTTCTCTTGCCTTCACTTACCAGTTATTTGCTGGGAATACATCTTTTATAAGGTTAAGCAGAGACAGACACTGTTAGCATAGTAACTCATGGCTGCCAAGCTATGACAAGTGGTTAATATTTGCAAGATAAATGTGAGTGGAGTTGGGGATTTTAGTTTCTCTGGAGAAAATCTCAAGATTTGATTGCTGTCCCTTAAGAATGAAAGCACTCAGCTGAGCACCGAGGACCCTGAGAAGGGAGGTCCGAGGGCAGAGGGGGTGTGGGTGAGGAGGGAAATCCCAGTAAACCTCCAGGGTGGCCTCCGACAGGACCCTGGTGGGAAAGGAAGCAAGAGTCTGTACCACCCTCTGGGCTCCGTGAGTCTTCGTAGGCACCTAAGAGTAAGATTCTCTTTCTGGAAGTCCCAGTCCCTGGAGCCTCCTACTCTCACTCCCAACAAAATAACTTGTCTAAGTAAGAGATTACATTAAGAAAAAGGGCAAAGTTTATACTGTAATTTATCTGCTGTGATTCATAACTAGCAGCTGTCCTTTAGGGCTCTCCATACAGTGAAGGTTTGATGGATACTCTCCAGTCCAGGAGACCACAGTTCCAGCCCCATCAGCAGGACTTGCAGCCAGGTCCCAACTCAGATGTCTGGGTCCCCGTCTCCTCCCACCTCGCAAAAACAAGGTTTATGACTTCACTGTCCATCAACTAGACAGACTAAACTATCATGCTGTTGGTTCCCCAGTAAGGACAGCAGAGTAAGAAAAAGATCCTAATGTGAACCCTGCCAATAATTTGCAACGTGACCTTTTTTAAGTCACAACTTTCCTAGATTTCAATGTTCTGACCTGTTTGGGGGAACTGTTACCGCTAGTTATACTGAGTCCACAGGGATGTTGTTGAGGTAAAATGAGACATTAGATTTAAAAACATGTCAAAATGGTTAGGTGTTCTGCGCATTCAAGAGACGTTTGTTACCAATTTGTTAAATAACTAGTGTGTGAAGATTTCCGTTCATTCTGTGGACTAAGCGTGGAACTGAGGCAGCTGCTGGAATGTTAGTGGGGAACCAACAGGGTGGAATATGAAATAAGAAAGATGTGTTTCCTGGCCATGAGTGTCTCCATGTCCCAGGGGAGATAAAAGCACACACAGCAATAAGTCTCAGGCAGAATGTGTTGAACACCGGAGAAAATAGATAAAGTGTTTCTGGGGGGCAGCTTTCTTCTAACCACGCAGATCATTGTCATCCACAACCGGCAAACACCAATCTCCAGGGAAGCCAGAGGAGGGACATGGATTTGGGGCAGTAAGGTCTATTCACTACAGTTTTTAATTCTGATGTGAGTTGAATCCAAAGTTAGACTAGTTGAGTGAGACGGTTTTGCAGCTGTTTGGACAACACCATGGCCAGAAGGTCTAATTCAAAAAATTTTAAAATAAAAAAAAAAACCAATTTGTCAAGCAGAGATGAAAGTCAGCAGCAACAAGCCCATCACGGAGACACGAGGTGCTACCCAAGGAACATTCAGTGAGGCTTTTCCAGGCTGGACTCAAACACACATCTGTATAAAATGTAAAACAGAGAATGTGTTCAAGGGCTGGGAGCTGAAGGGAACAAGGAAAGAACATTTGGGAAAAGTGCAGCAGCTGCTTTCAAAATAGCCTTTCCTCTGAGCCCCAGGGGAGACGGGAGAGAAAATACGGCTCGTCTGCTCCAGTGCTTGGCACTCATTCGGCCTCCAGAGCATCCACGGTCCTTGGGACGACCCGGGGCTCCGGTGGAGACCGGTGAAGTGAGATCCCTGCTCTTCTGCCACAAGTCCTGGTCACATCCCAGTCCTTTCAGACACAGGCTTCTCAACCATTTCCTGCCGATCAAAAGAGGACGCCAGGCTGGGACATCTCGATCAGGAATTTTATTCCCTAAGTTTCTCCCTGAGTTTTCCTTTGCTCAGTTTGACTTTTTAATTTTGATCTAGTCTCCGAAGGCAGCCCTAAACCAGTTCCCTCTCAGGTACGATCAGGACCATTTACGGATGGAAGTCTAATGCATCCCTTGATTGTCAGTCAAGTTATTAGCAGGGATGGATACATCATAAAAGTCCACTGTGGGACATTCATAAAACCAAACACATACATAGTTCTTTCCAACATTCCTTCAGTTATTTTAAGGAAACACTCTTTTGTTCTAAAGTAGTGTGTCAGCTGGGACCCAGCCATCCACGCAGCTTTGGAAGCACATCCTTTGGGCCTGTGTTACTCTCTTCCTCACCCTCTCATGTGTACTGCCTGCTCCACAAAGCTTGCTTCCACAAGTGCCTAGAACACTGACAGTGATGGCAATGAAACCCCAGACTTGCAATTCTGACTGAAAGAAAGAGCCCCAGTTTTTGCCATATTAGTTCCGATGGCCTACTGTAACAAATTCGCACAAACTTGGCGGCTGAGAGGTCAGAATCTAGAATCAGTTCGCTGGGCCAAGGTCCAGGTGCTGGCAGGGCCGCACTCCCCTGGGGGCTCTGGGGGAGACTCTTTTTTCTCCACCTTTTCCAGTTTCCAGAGTTGCATTCTTTGGCTTGTGGCCTCTTGTTCCATCTCCAAAGCCAGCAGTGCAGCATCACAGTGCAAGGCCGTATTTCCTTCTTCTACTGAGTCAGATCTCCATTTCCCTCTTATAAAGACGCTTGGGACTGCATTTAGAGGCCACCCAGGTAACCCAAGATAATCTCCCCACCTCAGTATCCTTAACTGAATCATATTTGCAGCCTCTTCTGACACATAAGGTAACAGCCATAAATTGCACGGATTAGGAATGAGGTATCTTTGGGGCCACTACTCACCCGACCACACTGTGGCAGATGCACCCGCCCTCTGCCATGGATCTGAAATGTTGTTCAAGAAAGGCGATGCGTCCCTGGTGCCTGCTGCATATCATGGATCTAGGATGACCCACTGTCATGTAATTGAGAAAAAAAAAAGTAAAAATCTAATCATAATCAGGGCAGAAAGCCCTTTGGTGTTCATTATAGCAGGGCCTCACTAAAAAATCAAAGAAACACAGCCCTTCATTTAAGCATCCCAGGTGTCTAGGTTTGGAGGCACCAGGGGAAGAACATGGAAGCGTCATGAGAAAAGACCACACTCCAGGCTCACTCCTAACACGTGCAAGGACCATGCAAGAGCACAGACAGAAGCCCACACTGCATGTGTCTAGAATATTAAAAAGTACAAGCCAAGATAACATAATAGGAAGTGAAATATGTTTTCTCTTACACTGACCAGCAGACCTTCACAGTGACACAGAAGCCATACTTGAATCAGGGAAACCTGGGCTTCCGCTGTTTGGTCAGGAAGCTCTGCGAGGGCATGGGGGGAGAGAGCCATGGCCTCCAGCCCCACCTCTGCCCACCTCCTGCCACCACTTCGAGGGGCTCCATCACCTTAGGACACTCCAGCCCACACAGCCTAAGCTCCATCCTCACTTCCCCATAAAAACCTGCCCGTTGGCCACTCCCAGGCCCAAGGTCAGTGCATCAGTGGCGCTACCTGCCCTCAGATGGGCAGACAGAGCAAGAGGATGGGGCAGGCCCTCGGAGCTGCCTTAGGGACTTTTGTGCAGAGAACTCGGGGTTCTAGTCATCCAGATCACGAGCTGGAACCATGCTTCTCTGCTGAAGCACTATTTTTATTGTGTTTTTAAAGTGTTCTCTCCACTACAGACCAACACTTCTATAAAATACAACTTAAATGACTGAGAAGTGTCAAATTGCCATAGAAGGTACTGAACATTGGTTTAGCTCACTGTGGACCAGTGGCAAACAGACCATGCTTGGTGCATCACTAGACTAGAAGATGAACGTGAGTGAATTCGTGTTCTCACGTCACTACAAATACTGATACTGATGACCTGGTAGTTTCCAGGGGTCAAGAGTCCAGCCATGGTTTAGCTGGGTCTTCTGCTCTGGGTCCCACCAGGCTGCAATGAAGGTGCCAGCCAGAGCTGGGGTCTCATCTGAGGCTCAGGGTCCTCTTCCAAGCTCACTGGTTGCTGGCCGAATTTAGTTCCTTGCAGCTGTAACTATCAGCAACTTGCTTCTTCAAGGCCAGCAGGAGAATCTCTCTTGTCAGGAAAGGCTCAGTTCCTCTTTTAAGGGATTTGACCAATCAAGTCAGGCCCAGCAGGAACAACCTCTCTTTTGATTAACTTACAGTCAACTGATAGGAACAATAACTACATATTCCAAATGCCTTTGCCGTATAACATAACCTGATCACAGGGGGGACATCCATCATATTAATAGGTCCTATCACAAGGAAAGGGGAAGACACAGGGGGTAAGAAGGTAGCATCTTAGAATTTTTCCTACCACAGTGGACTTAAGGTGGTTACATCATGTGGCCCTGTGGACTCTTCTCTTCATGGTCAGAGGGAGGCCACAGTATGACCTTGGAAAGCTCAGGGCCCAGGGCAGAGGCCATTCGCCCCTGAGAGAGGTTCCGCCCCTCCCGCCGCAATAGTTCAGGATTAGAGCTAAGTCAGTGTCCCCCTCAGGAGCCCAGACTCCAATGTTGAAAGGCACTCCTCCCTTCCTTTGCTTTGGTGCCAATATTCCTTGCCGCCCCCTAACCTAGTATAGTGCT